TCTGTTATGAATTGGAGCTATACAAATAAAATTGAATTGAATTGGGTGTCAAACTTCGGAAACTCATAAATGTTTTTGTTTCGTGTGCTCAGGTATGATTTACATGATGTGTGTGTGTGTGTGTGTGTGTGTGCGTGTAGCACTGGTGGGAGCGTCTGTCTCCAGTGCTGTTGTCACTGTGGCATCGTCTATGTGATGGAGAGCCTCTACCAGAGCAGCTGCAGCTCCTCACTGACTGTCAGAAGTGGGCCTGCAGGTACAACCTCATAAACCATCATCTCTGAATCTCTGATCCACATTGTCCCCTGTTAGTGTGAGGGGAAAAGAATCTCAGTCCCCTCTGGATCCTTTGGCTTCCACGTGTCCTCGGCTCTGCCTTGTCAGTTTTGCCTTTTTTTGTGTTCCCTTGGCTCATGTTAGGGTGGTTTCTGATTCTGTTTCAGTGTAGAGAAGGGCTTGTCGTCACCAGCGCCTGCAGCTGCAGCTCTCCTCCTGGCTGCTAGCCTGCATCGTGCTTGGCGAGGCCATGGGTGCGACAACCAGGGCTTCTGTACCGCCCTGAATATGCTGCGACCAGAGAGGGGCATACAGTACCGACAGGTGAGTTAAGAACTGAAATAAGGAAGTTCTATTACCAGAAAAATGTAGTAGTCGATACCGATACCAGTGAAATTTCACGATTCTCAATACCACGGTAAAAAACGAAAACAACAAATCCCATGTACCCTCCCCCCCTTACCCTCTCCTTATTAAGAACATTTGAGTTTGGAGTTGCGCTGCCCTCCGTTTCTATCACAGTTAAAATATTGTGCTTTGTAGTCATTAGGCCATGACAAATATGGAACTGGACACACTGGATGATGGTAAATTAACAGCATCGACTTAGTACCAAAGTATGACTTCTTGTGACATCCCTTCTCAAAACCAACCAGTATGTTTGTATGTTGCCATTCCATTTCCAAGAATCTGGTGAATTGATACAATATAAAACAAAATCTCCATAGTCAAGTGTATCAATGTTTTCTTACACCCCTAAATGCCACAAGATGAACAATGTTAAACTCCCAATGTCATACAGGTAGTGGCAGCCAGTGGGTAAACTGTACTCTGTAAAGAATAGTGGGTTTGTCCTTTATTACATTATCTCTGATCATCACCTGCATCCTAATTATTATTACTGAGCCTTTGTAAATGTGACTGTGTCAGCCTCAAGGCCTCATTAGTGCTCCTGCTTTGTAAAAATCCCAATAATTTAGTTTTAACCTGCACCTGCTCTGTAAACAGCCAGAGGTTGCTTTTGGTGTGTTTTCCACCTCAGTATACTTACCTACTGCTGCTCATTTCTTCTTCCAGGTGCTTGTTTTTCTGCTCTTCCTGTGTGTGAACGACTACCTGTCCGCACTCCTGTGTCCTCAGGTAACTGACTGCACACTGACAGGGGTGTGTTCAGGTTCAGCGGCTGGGATCACTGCTATGTCTTTGAGGCCTAGCTCAGGTTGATGAACACTAATGAGCAACATGGACACACATACTAGTTTTATTTATGTAGTACCTCTTTATTGCACACTTGACACAGTTGTTAATTGTTAAAGGAATAGTTTGACATTTTGGATGAGAAGTTGCTCTCACCTTTCCATTAAATATAAAGCTATAGCCAGGAGACAATTAGCTTAGCTATAATGTGTTCATCTGGGAGCTTTAGAGGTTCTGTTGGGCAGATTTTGTTACCTTTGGACGCAGCCAGGTTAGCAGTTTCCCTGTTTCCAGTCTTTATGCTAAGCTAAAAAGCTTCATATTCAGTAAAATGAGAGTGGTAGCAATTTCCTCATCAAACTCTCAGCAAGAAGCAAATAAGCATTTTTCTCAAAGTGATGAATTATTATTTTAAGATAATGCAAATGTTTAACACCAAACTTGAACTCACATTGTAAAGCTTAAACCAAGCACAGAAACAATATGACATGAAACCTGCTTTTGGCAAGTGCACCATATGATGTGGAAATATGTCTCTGAAAATTAAAGCAATGAACAGTAATTCATTCTTTTATTTCTGTAGGAGAAGAGCCATCAGAAAGCCTGGACTTTATGCACAGACCTCCTGGCTGTGTTGGTGGACTCTGCTGACTGGCTGCTCATCTTCAAATCAAACGGTACAGAGTGGATCTTCTAAAATCACATCTCAGTTCACTCCACATTAGGGGTGTGGATGTTACAGCGACTGTGATAGATACAAATACAGATCCCACTGTTCTGGTTGCATAAAAAAGTAAACTTTTTTTGCTAATACACAGCCCTGTTGCCCATGCTCAACACTCAGCTGGTAGTATATCAGTTTTGTTGCCAGTTTAGCATAGCATTTAGTCATTATTCGGCAGAGGAAAATAATGTTAGCATTGACAATAAATGTTATATATATACAATTTAATAGAATTATTTCTAGAATCCACTTGCCACTGGATGTCGCACTAGAGCACCAACATCTCAGACCAAAACAATGAGACAGAAAAAAAAAAAAACTTAACCAAAACTGACTTTGTTAGTCTTAGTGGCGTCATCGGCTGTCCACTCCCTCTGTCTGTGTTGCTAATGGCACGCCTCTCTGTGCTTTGTTTGGGAGGTCCTGTAGGGATTTCTCCCTTTACTCCAAATTAATGTTGTTAGAATAACAATCTCGACCCCGAGGTCCAGGTGACACAAACAACTTCCTTCGTAGACAGCACGATTTGGTCCCCAAGGATTAATGTTAGCTTACGCTGCAGCATTGTGTTTGCGTGAATTAAGGCATGTTATTTCATTAAAAACCAGCGTTTGTTGGAA